CTAAGTTGGGTGTAATTTAACATGTTTCGCATATTTGGGGATATATCGGAAAAGGCTGATATATATATATATATATATATATATATATATAGATAGATAGATAGATAGATAGATAGATAGATATTGGAACAAATAAGATAGATAGATAGATAGATAGATAGATAGATAGATAGATAGATAGATAGATAGATAGAATGAAAGAACGAAAAGAAGATAGATAGATAGATAGATAGATAGATAGATAGATAGATAGATAGATAGATAGATATTTACGAGCAGACTGCGATGGATATATAGAAAGATAAATAGAATGAAAGAAAGAATGAAGAAAGAAATAAAGTAAGAAGAAGCATAGATAGATAGATAGATAGATAGATAGATAGATAGATAGATAGATAGAACGAAAAGAAGATAGATAGATAGATCGATAAATAGATAGATATGAACAGCTCTAAATAGACAGATATATATATCTATATATATATATGAACGTATATATATATATATATATATATATATATATATATATAGATAGATATGAACAGATGGACATAGATGGCTAAGAGCAGACTGCGATATATAACTAGATAAACGAGCACCTGCGATAGATAGATAGATAGATAGATAGATAGATAGATAGATAGATAGATAGAATGAAAGAAAGAAAATTGCTTCAGCAAATATAAACCTTAGCCTCTGTTAAACGGGGAGGGGGGGGAAGCAGCATTTCGTGCATTGAGCATTCAAATATCAATTAATAGTGGATAAGACATTTTTCTTCGTGACTTCCGTATGACACACGGAATTTGACGAATCCGGGCATGTGTCACGCATCAAATGTCTCAGAACGTCTGTTTGTCCTGAAGCGTGGGAAAAGACAAGAGAATATATAATCGACACTCACGCGTGCGGCGACACACCCATACAATCGCGAATAGATAGATTATGGGATGCTCTTCATGATGGCAGTGTCGTTGCTCATCTGGGGTTTCTCTTTTGGATCTCACATGATCAACTACCTTCTGTACTTGCCTCGATTTAGCTTTAGTATCGTAGTACTCGATTGGCAGTTATGTCTCATCATTTTACTTTTGAAATTGCGAAGTGTAACCGTAAGTTCTATTCTAATAGTTTCTTCTCTCACGCTTCTCTCTGGTCGAGCTTCTTGCTTTCCAGTCAAATACAATCTTCAAATATTTAAATTTAATGTCAGTCATCATCTTTTCTTTCTTTCTTTGATCCCTGTTCTTTTTGGTGTTATTTTCCTTTTGTTTTTTTTTTTTTTTTTTTGTTTCATTTCACTCTTATTCACAACTTGAGTCTTGGTGGCTTTATCGCCTTGCTTTGGGTGAAATTATAAAAAAAATGTATCGCTCTAAACAAGGTCTAACCATAAACGTTTCCCCCACATGTACAAATATTTTCTTCTCGTTTGCTTGTTAACATAGCACCTCTGTAGTCAGTATCGTCTTGCTAGAACTAAAATTCCTGTTCAGAAGTTGACGTCGCAGATTATTTCCACAACGAAGGAAACAAATCGCAAGTCCAAACACAAATATCATGGACAGAAAGAAATGTCGAAATCTCGATTCACAGGTCCTTTGTCACAGATCCCAATGCACGTAAACAGCCAGAGAAATAACACATTCGCTGACGAACGCGGTAGCAAATACAGTGATCCTCGTTTATCGCAGTAGATTGGTTCCGAGACCGGCCGCGATAACTGAATTTCCGCGAAGTAGGGAAACCATATTTACAGTATTTATTTAACGTGTATTTGGACTATTAAACCCCCCTGTACTGTTAACAACCCACCCATCACAGTACTCTATTAATAACAAGGACAACTGTTAAGCAATAACACTTTAGATTAAAAAAAATATAAAGATTGTTATTGTATTCAACACGATAGAAGTTGAAGTAGAATTTGAATGATGATGATGATGAATTTGCTGCGCAGTAGAAATGATGATGAAGCTGATGATGACTTCTACTGTGCAGCCGATAATTGTATTTTACGTCTCTTCAGACGGCGATGCACTTTCTATTGCTATTTTACGCTTGATTTGTTGTTCCTAGACCAGGAAATAATATTTATTATTAATATTTTAATGGGTTTAATGAAAAATTTTAGGTGTTCATATATCGCGATTTTTCTAGAATTTTCCAGAAACTCCGCGATATATTTCCCATATATATATTTTAAAAATCCGCGAAGTCGTGAATCCGCGATAGTAGAACCGCGAATTAGCGAGGAATCACAGTAAACGACTTTTTTTCTCTCTCCAATTCGAGAACACCAACTGCTTTTATCGACGGACCATTTCTTTTTCATTCAACGACAGCTGCGAGAAGACACACAATGTTAACATCCGACATACTTTTTACGTCGATTCCTGCGGCTGACTTGTTTCTACTTTAAAATTTGGATTTTCTGGCATATCATGCAGAATACGTGCCATTTTTCTCAGTAACTATCTTTCTTTTTCACCCCATTTTACGTCGTAGAATACACGCGACACGTTGTTGCTTGGTTTAATGAGGTAATTCACCTTTATTCTTCGTTACAACCCGTAAAAAAATCTAGATAACCAGAATCCGACAGCTTATATTTTCTCGGATCTAGCACGACCATTTCAATGGAGGTAGGGAACTGTCTTCGCAAAATTTAGTTGGAGGTGAAAGAAAATCAGATTAGAACAAAATGCCGATGGCGTGAATCTGATTAAGGTGGACCTCAGTTTGCCAGGAAATGACCCACACACTTGATTTCATGACATCCCTTTGCGGCACATATCAAATGAGACATGCAGGAACCAGATATGGAACTCCAACCTACTACCTTTGATTCTGTTATAATTTCGAGCGACGCCTTCTGTAGCATGTCCATTATGCGTAGCCATCTTCATCCGCTGGTTCAATTGTTGAGATCTGTTGCGATCATCATAAGCTTTTTCTATCGTTGTATGGATTAGTTAAAGCAAATTTAGTATAGGAGATGTGTAAACTGAACACAGGATAGGTTGTGCTAGGAGTACTTTTCTCCAACAACTGTAAGATGCTAAAAAGAACAAAAGATCAATCCGAAAATGTGGCATTTTCTTAAATATTCTCGTCAGATCCCCAAACTTTTCTCAACCAACGCTCCCTCCCTTTGTCAAATTGGAAAAATTTCAAACTTTTGTCAACGACCCTCTGTCAAATTTTAAATTTCAAATAAAATTATAAATTCCTGAAAAAATTTTTTTCTTTCTTATCTCAATGCAAGATAACACTTAGGTATTAGTGCAAAAATAATTTTAATAATGTTTTCATTTCTATTATAAATGCCAATGATTAAATTCCTGAAAAAATTTTTTTACTTCATAGCTTATCTCAATGTTTCAAATGCGATGGATGACTTTGGTGCTTACTGGCTAAGGCTCTTACTCTAGGTTCATTTCATAGCTTATCTCAATGTTTTCAAGTCGATGGTTGACTTTGGTGCTTACTGGCTAAAGTTCTTACTCTAGGTTCATTTGATAGCTTATCTCAATGTTTTTAATGTGATGGTTGACTTTGGTGCTTACTGGCTGAGGATCTTACTCTAGGTTCTATGCTTCCTGGAAGTAATCGTAAATCATCTTGTTCTGTAATTTGCTTGCGGTTTCTTTGTTTAGTAAGAAGTTCTGTAACTGCATTGAAACCACATTCAGCCGTATAGGAAATTGAAAAAGCAATGAAGAAAAGTTTGATAGCTTCCCACAGCACTTTCAGAAATTTCCTTTTCTGGCCAATATTAAATAATTTTTGAAAATCTGAAAAAAATGAACACATACCCACCTCCACCTGAGCATGGTCATCGCTCCCCAAATGAAATAAAAAAAGAACTCCCAGTGCTCCTCCTTTCAACATAACAGAGCCCACAAGGGGGTGCTATCGCCCACTTTGGGAACCACTGATCTAAACAATCATCTATATACAACTGTTTTCTCGAATAAATGATTAAAAATGCCGTCGAACGCATAACTTGAATCAACAAATCAAAGAAGGCGATTCCTCATTCGACACTATGAGCTGATGCTTCAAAATCAGATACCAAAAGCTATAACACATCACGAAAAGCACATTACTTGAAAAAATACTGACAGTAATCTTATTATAATTCTGCTTGAGCCTTATTTAGCTAATTAGCGCGTATGTACGTTACGCCCAGCCAATAGATAATAAATAATGTACTATTCCGTTCTGAGCGCGTGGAAAGAAGGAAAACACATAGCAGAAACGCTACTTGGTTTCAGTGAGAAAAAGAAAGAAAGCAAGATAAAAAGAAAGAAAGAAAAAAGAAAGAGAAAAAGAAATATTTAACGTCTCTTGCCAATATCTCATAAATAATTGGCTATTCCGTTCAGACCGCGTGGAAAGAAAAGACATAGCAGAAACGCTACTTGGTTTCAGTGAGAAAATGAAAGAAAGAAAGAAAAAGAAAGAAAGAAAGAAAGAGTGAATAGGAGATAGAAATATTTAACGTCTGTTTCAGTGAAATGGAAAAAGTTGTCAATTTCAACTCTTTTTATTTGTATACTTTTACGGTTTTTTTAAAATACGACCAGCATTCATAGTTATGATTGTTATTGCAATATTTTATTAAAAGTCTTAAGCTCAAATATTTAACGATGCATCAGAAATTGAAAATCAGAAAACCGTTAAATTTTCGGGTAGTGCACATGCACCTAAATAAGAAAATAATGATTTGATCAAGGTGTTAACTTTCCACACTACGAAAAATAAGCAGGTTTGACGGATACTAAATTCAGTATTAGAAAAAATATAGAGTTGGTCGTCTGGAGACGACCATTTTCCTGTAAAGCCGAAGAAAACGATTTTATAAATTTCACCCGGGAATCATGATTGAAGAACACATAATATTTCCTGTATGGAAACGGTTATTTTAGGTTTAGTTTGGTTTCATTTGTTTTACGGTATATCAACCTCAATGGGTTTTATTTAACGCCAACAATTTTTATTGCAGGTAAATTTTTTTTCAAAAATGTATTGCTGGGAATCATTTTTTACTCAAAAATTTATTGCTGGTAATAGTTTTTACAAAATATTTCTGGTTTGTTTTTTTTTTGGTTTGGTTCATAGCATATAAACCTCAATAGGTTATTTAATGCAGACAACATTTTTATTGCTGGTAATATTTTTTCCAAAAATGTATTGCTGGTAATAATTTTTCCTTCAAAAAATGTATTTCTCGTATTAAAACCTATTTTTACACTTTTCATAGTATTTTGACCCCAGTTTGCCCATAGTTGGGACCCTAACAAGTGTTACCACCCCGGGTCAGGGTGGACCTGGGAACACCAGCAATTAAGCGGTGGTTCCACGCTCTTCAAAACCTCCTGATCAGAGGCCTTGTTGTTAGACGTAGTTTATCGTCTTACCCAGGGCGCGAAAGTAGTTTATCGTCATACCCAGGACGGGGTTATTTTTGTCGTTACTCTCACAATGTTGATATTTTAGAAACGTCGATTATTTCGATTTATTATTATATGGCACGAAGGTAAATCTTGTGTGACAAACCGTTGAAAAAATATTAGGAAAACTGAGTTACGCCAAATTAATTACCATGAAAATTTGCATTCAAAATCCTAACTTTAACCTGTCCAATCGGCGAAGCAGAGAATACACCGACTATAAACCTAAATGGTGGATGCGTGCCGCCATGTATAAACCAGACCAATGTTTACTGAATAAACTC